GGGGGAAATAATCCCTTTTTTGGGGGAAAAATCCTTTTTTTCTGAGTAAAAACTCATTTTTTGGAGTTAAAACCAAATTTTGGAGGGGAAAATCCCTTTTTTTGGGGAAAAAATTCATTTTTAGTGAAGGAAACTCTTTTTTCTTGGAAAAAAATACTTTTTTTGGGGGGGAAAACCCCTTTTTTGGGAAAAGATTGCATTTTTGGGGGGGAAAAATCCCTTTTCTGGGAAATAAAACCCATTTTTGTAGGATAAAATCTATTTTTTTAAGGGGAAAACCCCCTTTTTTGGGATTAAATCCCATTTATGTGGGCAAAACCCCATTTTTGTGGGAAATAAATTCATTTTTGGGGGTAATAAACTCATTTTTGGGGACAATAAACCCATTTTGAGTTGTAAAACCCCATTTTTGGGTGGTAAAACTCAATTTTTGGGGTTAAAATCCCATTTTTTGGGAAGAAAACCTCATTTTTGGGAGTAGTAAACCCATTTTTGGGGTAATAAACTCATTTTTGGGTGGTAAAACCCCATTTTTGGGGGCAATTAACTCATTTTTGGGTGGTAAAACCCCATTTTTGGGGGTAAAATCCCATTTTTTTGGGAAGAAAGACTCATTTTTGGGGGTAATAAACTCATTTTTGGGTGGTAAAACCCCATTTTTGGGGGGAATTAACTCATTTTTGGGTGGTAAAACCCCATTTTTGGGGGTAAAATCCCATTTTTTTGGGAAGAAAGACTCATTTTTGGGGGTAATAAACTCATTTTTGGGTGGTAAAACCCCATTTTTGGGGGGTAAACCCCCATTTTTTGGGAAGAAAAACTCATTTTTGAGGGTAATAAACCCATTTTTGGGGTGTAAAACCCCATTTTTGAGGGTAATAAACCCATTTTTGGGGTGTAAAACCCCATTTTTGGGGGCGCTATGGGGCGGGAGGAGCCAAATTTGGGGTGCGGGGAGGGAGAGCCGGGATTGGAGCGGTCCCGATTTAGGGGGGAGGGGACCCCAAATTTTGGGATCGGGATATCCCGGTTCGGGGTTGTCTCGGTTCTCCCGGTTCGGGATTGTCCCGGTTCCCTGGAGCTGTTCCCGTTTTGGGATCGGGTTCTCCCGGTTCGGGA